TGGTCATTTTAAACTGCAACAACTTTACTTTCTTTTTATAGAGGTATGTAAGCATAACAAATATTGTGATAGAGTAAGAGGGGCTGCAAATTTTCCCAAGGTTTTTTGGACTTTTCCTCCAGACCACCCTGGGGCATATTTAATGAACAGTCCCTTAGTGTAGTGTTCATGTTCAGCTATTTAACTACCGAGTCTGTGTGATTCATTAAAAAATGTGTCTGTAAATTACTAATTTTATTTGTCTGTATTTCTCTAATAGTTTTACCACAAACATTGAGAGTAGATAGAGGGACAGAAACAGATGTTATGACCACAATTCATTGCTTTCTCAGAGAAAAAAATGGTGATTTGGATGATCCCACAGATTCTGTTCTTTATGGGCCTTCGACCCAGAACAAGATCGAAAGGTGGTGGAGAGAGCTTTTAGAAAGAATGGAGAAGTTTTTTAAAGACCAACTTAAGGCATTAGTTGAAAGTGGAGAATATGATTCCAGCAGCCAAAGTGACCGGTATGATTGTTAGGCAAACTAAGATTCACATCGCAATTTAACAACACATGATGTGTGTTTTGTCAGTGTGTTGGTAAATTGTAGTGTAAATCAGTTACTTGATGTACTTGTCAGGCTTTGGACCATTTGGGATTTGTTCAAGCTTGGTCGTACTAGTAATATACTTGTACTTATAATTAAAAATGCATATATATACACCTACTTTCCAAAACGTTGTCACAGAAAATAGGACATTTGTATTTAGTAAAAAGGTTAAAACAAGACAAAACAAGATCACTGAGGCTGAACACTCTCTTTTGTCTTGTTTTAATTTATTCCTTTTTTACTATATTCAAATGTTCTATTTTATATGACGTTTCTGCAAGTAGGTGTTTATCTATAAGTACAAGTATATTAATGGAAAGAAAATCTTTCAGATATAAGAGTCTCAGCTAAAAATATTGCTAATAGGTAACATACATGTAAGTAGTACTGTGAAGCTTTATGAATAATTATGTCACTGTTTATTTGTTTTTCCAGAGCCCTTCTAGCCTATGTATATATCCCTGTTGTCCAGAAGGAACTAGATGTTTTTAGGGAGTGTGTTTGGAACAACCACAGGACCCGTAAACAGAAAAAGAAAGAACTGCCTGCAGGAGTCCCAGAACACATTTTCCATTTTCCTGAACAATATGGAGGAGAACAATGTGGAATTCCCATAACAGAAGAACAACTTCTTGAGGTTGCTGAGCTTTCAGATGTTTTCGATTATGATGATGATTATTTGAATGCAGCTGTACGTAAAGAATGTCAGCAGCATTTACCTAATGTTGAGGAGATTGAGCCCAAAGATGCTAAGGATGCTTACCTGTACCTAAAATCAAATGTGGATGAAGATGTTTTTGAAATTCATACATGGAACCTACAATCATTTTGTGCTGGTTTTAGAGTAAAGTAGGTAAAACTCACATCATCAATTTTGAAAGAACTTGTTGTAGATAATGTAAACAAAATAGAAATTACTATATTCATTTTGATCTTATCTGAAAAATTGTAAATTGATGCCAAGGTATAGATAAAAAGTATTGTAATGTATTGTATTACAGATCTCTCTATCTAAGATAAACACTCAACCCAACTTGTTACAAACAGATAGGTCCTACAACAACTTTATTACATCCTTCTTTGCAAACACAACTACATGTAGAAACATTGCAATTAAACAATCATTGGGATGTCAGGTTACAGTAGATGTTACTCCGATCCAATGATATTTATAAATTCCATATCATATTACAGTGCTTACACTATGACCATGAAATAAAATCTAAATAGTTACTAACTAATAGCTTTTATTTAGTGACTATTAGTGACTACCATTCAACTGGAACAGTCTTTAGTAACAGCACATTCTGTACACTTGGGAACCAAATACAAAAGAAACAAATATACTCATTATTCCAGTTGAGTGATAGCAACTAATAGTCACTAAATAAGAACTATTTGTTAGTAACTATTTAGATTTTATTTCATGGACATATTGTAAGCACTCTAAAGCAAAAGCACATAGCGACAAGTAGTTTTTGCAATGAAATGTTTAGAGGATATTACATGGACGTGCAGACTGATATGGATTCTATCTTCGAGTAATATTCCGTTTATCATATAAATGCATATGGAAAAAAATGTCGTAAAATACCTTTTTCTTACTTCCACTATATAGAGAATCATAGAATGTGTTGTAGTATTACATGGTTGCATGCTTACTCGAGAAAGATCTTGTAGACGCTCGAAGAGAAAATCTGTACCATATATACAACATTGCAATAACAAATAAAAACCCAAAACTAAAAACCCATAAATCATTTCAACTATTTATATTAGTGGTCTATGTTTTTTATATAACGCAGCGTTTTTAAAAGAATAAAAGATATAAAATGGCTGACTGCCCATGTAGCTATAGCCCACCATGTTTACATCAGTATAGAAAAACATTCTTACATATCTGGAAGCTGCAAAAACCTGCAAAATTTGTTACAACAATGGTTAGTTACAAAATTGTTAATGGCAGTTTCATGAAGATTGCCATAACAGAAAAGAATGGGACTTGTTTCGTCCCCTACTCGTAAGTGTGCAGAAGCAATTTCTGGATCACAAAGATTGTAACCGATCCCTTGAAGATCCAAAACTATAAGCTGCTTGTTAGACCGCTCATATGTATAATGAGCAAAGGTCTCACTTTTAAGGCTTATGTCGCCAACATCATCACCACAGACCAGGCTATCATTGTTGATGTATTTTTCAAAAGTCTCTCCTTCTATGTAATTCTCTATGGTCACGCACTCGCCATTGATAGTAGAGAAATATACTTTAGTATACGCGAAGGACTTGCCAAATTCCATTGGGCTTTCTAATTGCATATTCTGAGCAAAGTTACGTGCAAGTGCGTTCATTTGTACGGCTTTTCTAGTGTTCGCCTCCAGAGATGTAGACACACTTTCAATGGTTGGAATTGCTTCCTCCTTGTAGCGCTTCAGAACATAATTCGATTCTGGGAGTCCTTTCAGGACTTTGCCTTGTAAGCATTGCGGAATCCTCCAGAGGCAAAGGGAGCTTTATCCACAGCCAATTTGACTGTGAATGGTTTTGACCATTCTCTTTCAACTATTGAAAACTCCTCCAATTGCAAGCTAAGCACTTCCACCTTCGGAGCAATAAGCTCGCCAAGAGTAAGCATTTTGCTTACAGGAACAGAGGCAGCAAAAGTTGCTGGTGCCTTTTTTGATTGAATCTTTGAAGGATTTACTGATTGTGGAGGGGGATTACTGCGAGGTTTTTCAATTTTCTTAACTTTCTCTTCTACATCACAGTCTATGATTGGATCTACGAAGCGGATATGGATAACCTTGAACGACTTTATTTGCGATATATCAGTGTATGATGGGCCACGTTCCCCAGCTAGGATGTCGCACTCGAGGTTTGTATTGTAATGATTCTTACAAGCCTGCTTAATGTTCTCAAGGTTGTAATCTTTACCTTTCATGCTAACCATTGTAAGGGGGCCCATCCTTCCGTACTTCTGACAGCGACCTTCCACGTTAGCTGTCAAACGTTGAACTGTGATGTACTCATTCTCTACGCTATCTGCATTGCCCTTGTGTCCAAGTCTCTTCTTTGACGCTTTTTCTTTGAAGGATTCCCATTTACGCTTGTTGTTGGACATTCTTTAAACCAATGAAAAGCTACTGGCAAAGGGAAAACAATCTGAACGCAAATGGACGGTCGGTCAGATCAACGTCGAACACATGGGCCGCGCCCCTCGTCAAGATGTCAGCGGTTGTCCGAACAGCATTATGGGCTATGGCACTCATAGGCCATGGCAGAGGTTTTTTTTTTTTTCGCTGTGGAGTCAATAGGCCGTTGTATTTTTTTTAATACATCACAATAAAAAATAATAATTCCAAAAAAAAAATTAAAAA